TGCTACATCTATCACCACTGCTGTCTTCTGGTCCTTGTCTACTACTACAATGTCTGGTTGATTGTCCAGTACCTGTCTGTCTGTCTGTGTCTAGAAGGCCCGCAGGATCTTAGCCCTGTTATTCTCCATGACCTTCTGTGGAATTTCCCATCTTGACTTGGAAGGGTCTAGCAGGAGGGTCTATTCTTGTACACAATGCCAGCTACTTGGCTGTGCCGTTCAGTGTATGCTGTTCCTGCCTGCATCTTACACCCTGCCACTATGTGTTGGACTGTCTCTCAGGCCTTTCTGCACAGTCTGCACCTTGGATCCTGTCTAGTGTGGTAGACCCCTGCTTCTATGGATCTGGTGCTTAGTGCCTGTTCTTGTGCTGGTATCTATGATCAGTGTCTCAGTTCTGTCTTTTAGTCCAGCCCTTTCCAGCCACTGGCAGGATTTCCCAGTTCAGCCACCTCAGCTGTCAATGGTATATCCCACGCAGGGTCTTGTTTTGCCATGGCACTTCCTCTGCTTGAACTTCCTCCGATGTCTGCTGCTGCCTCAGGCATTCTCTTAGCAGCTCATTTTTGGGTGACATCTTACTGATGTACTGCTGGATGCTCTGGGTTTCATCCTGGACAGTTGCTTTGACACTCACCAGACCCCATCTGCCCTCTTTCCAGCTGGTGTACAGACTCTGGGTGTTGGACTTGGGGTGGAAACCTCCCTACATTGTGAAGAGCTTCTGGGTCTTCACATCAGCAGCCTCCATGTCCATACATCTATATAAAACAGATGGAGCTCAGAGTTGTATTTTCATATGCAAATACTCTTTTAGCTCACACTCACTTCTGATTTCATATCACTAGCACTGGTTTCATCCCAAAGGTTTGAACTACAGAGATTTGTGAGTTCCTACCATAATGTTTGCAGACACTTGTGATCTGATGCCACAACCACTATACTGTGTGTAGGTAATACTACTTTCTTTCACAGAAAGTTGTGATCTTATTCCACAGATGCTGTTTTACGTGGTTTCATACAATAAACAAAATATGTGCACAGGTCTTGTGGTTCTTAAATGGAAAGACGGTTGATTCTGAAGCTTTGGACCCAATTAGCATGATGACCAAAGGAACCAGAACCAAGTGAGCACTTTGCACTTAGCAGAGGAGCAAAAACAAATAAATAATTCATGTACTTACAGAGTATTTTCTTTTTCAAAAAATGAAAAAGTTTAAAAAAAATAGTAACCATTCCTAAAAAACAGTTGGGTCCTCTGTGGAATAATCTCCAGTGTTGTTGCTGGAGTCTCAAGTAACCTCTGACTTCAAGAGGTTGGTAATCTACCTAGTAACTTGAGACCTCAATACTTGAAACATGAATCTTCCCAAACCAGTCTTGCCATGCATGAATATCTCAAGATGTTTCTGCAGTTGAATGCTGATTTTGGAAGGTTCTCTGACATGTTTGCGATCTTCCAAAACCAGGCCAACATACTTTTGATCATACAGACTTATAAATCAGTGCAAAATAAGAATGATTTAGTATTGTTATTTACACTTATCAGGTTATTCCATTGTGGAATTCTTGAGGAGAGGGGCATTACCAGAAAGTTGTAATAACCTTTGTCCAGAATCAGACAAATTCTTAATTTCACCTGGGAACTCTTTAGGGAAACAGTAACGTAGAGGTAAAATCAAATCTCCTTCTTGTTCCAAAATCTGTGGAATTCCATCTTTGGACCAGTAAGATTCCTAACATTATTATCCTCAGGAAACTGCTCCAAAATTTTATATCTCAGGATTTAAAAATAGGTCATGGAATGTTGAACTCTTCATTACTTCATAGCTGAAAACATTCTACAGTTTCTAAATTCAAAACCATACAGAACTCCTATAAAGCTCAATAAAAAGCTGTTTAAAAAAAAACAACAAAAAACTTCAATTAGTGTTTTTTGTGTCAAATTCCAAGTTTCGTTTCCAGTTTTCATCTCAACTTTATTAGCTTTATTAGTATAGCTCTTTATTCAGCTATACTGAATAGCAGTTAAAATGCTCTTTCTTACCCCAACCTTCAAATAGTTTTCAAATTAGGCTGATTTCAAAAACCTATTGGTAATAGCACTGGGTCTGAACTGCATCTGGAGGAACTAGAACAAGAAGTGCAACTTCAGTACAACATGAAATATAACTTCACTACAAGTATAACTTGTACTGAATCAGACAGGGAATCAGAAAAGCCGCCAAAGTCACACGGTTACCAGCGAGTAGGGCTGTGCACAAAACAGAAGTTGTGCTTTGTTTCCAGCTTGAAAGAATACTCTATCCCCCAAAAACGTTGGAATCATTTTTTATTGATTGTGACTCAGTGACACAAAACCGGCTTAGGTGCCTTGTGTACAGTAGAGTTAAGAAAAGACTCAACATGATTCAAATGTTTTGGTGATGGAAGACAGGGTGGGGCAGGGGACTCAGAACAAATCTCTGAAAAAATCTGGTTGACCTGTAGGTGGCGGCAAAGAGATTCAGAAAACTCTGGCTCTTTGCTTCCACCTAACGGTTGTCTGGAGTTCTGATAGCCTTCCTCAAACTCAATCCAGCAGTAATTTTCCCTGGAAAAGTAGAGGTCGTAACTGAAATCATCATTCGAGGCAGGCGGTCAACCTAGGAAAAAATATTAAATTAATTTCAATCAGTCCATTAAGAGAATACTTAAAAAAAAAACATTTCTAAACATATCTTCTAAATCATTCTGTGCCTAAACCTAACCTTGTAGTCAATTGGGAATTTGAACTTCTCCCTCTACCCTTGTTCACTGGCACTTCAGATTTACCATGATTTTCCCCCTTCTTTTTGGCTGCCAAAAACGAGGAGAGGAGAGGAGAGGAGAGGAGAGGAGAGGAGAGGAGAGGAGAGGAGTCCAAGAGGCCCCACCCTGGGAAACAAATAAATCTCTCCCTATCTAGCTGCCACATTTATACAGTATCTGAAATAGAACATACGTTGATTTAACAGAACAAAAAGAATAATGAGTCACGTGCAATTCTTGCTCAGCAAAACTACTTTTTTTTTGCCCTTGAAAGGCTAAAGGGACAGAGCGAAAGCACTGCAGCAAACAGGTCTCAAACCACATTCAGACATGCATCCAGTACATCTAAACTTAACAGGCCAACCAGTACTGAGCCTTTTAATATATCCTAAAGTCTCCAGTACAAAAGGGCTCAGAATAAAGCAATGCAGAGATTGCACAGATGAATAAACACCAAAGCACTTCAGCAAGCATACCTACAGTGAAATCTTTGCTTTTCACATGCACTCAAAAGCAAACCCTCTAAAAGAGCCAACCATCAACCCAGAACTTTGGCTGTGCTATGAGGGCATGTCACCTCAGAGTCAGGGCACACTGTGTGACCCAGCTGGGTCAGGGGCTAAGCCCAGCAACACCACTTTTGGCAACACATAAAGGTAGGTGAGCCATGGCAGAGGATTTAGGGAGGGTGGGAGGATGGTAGAATTCTACTGACACTCAAATAGGAGAGGAACTGGATAACTCACATGGGGTCCTCTTCAGTATGAGGTTCATACAGTGACACTCAGAGACTAAAATGAACAGCCAGGTGAGCAACTTGAAGTCTTCCCCCATGGGAGCAAGTCAGCGGTGCTGCTCAGGGACTGAATGAGACAGCAAGGTGAGCCATGTGAAGATCATCCAGTGTATATCTCTCAGGTGATGTGAGCTAGGGACTCATTCCTGCATAACTTGCTCAAAGGCTTTACTGTCCTCAGAGTGCAGCTTCTCCAAGGACTTTTCTAAGAAAAGAATCAAGAGCAAAACCTAGCTTAGTAAGGCTGTCTCTGTACTTAAGAGATTTGTTGCAAAATGGCTCAAGTGCAGAAACTCCTCTCCTGGAGTTGAGAAGACATGCACTTAAGTGCAGAACATCCCGTTGCAAGAGGGAAACAACTTCCCATCATATTGCCTAAAATAGAATGGAACACTTGAAACAATTCTCATCTGAAGCAACCATATTGGTCTGTATCCAAAACAGTACAACTGGATCTCAGGAAGCTGAGGTGGAAGAGGAGACGCTTAAGAACTGCTGGAGGAAGACCCATCTTGAATCTGACTAGATACTGGTATGAGCTCATATTTGAGCCTTCACAGTGGCAATTCGGGTGACAAAAATCAAATATTTTGCCCTCTTTATTGCATTGGCTGAAAACAGCCCAGCATCCTCTTTTAAAGGCATCCTACTTCCTTTTAGGGAAAGATGTTTCCTGGATCTTGCTATGAGGAATTTTCACAGCATTTAGTGGACAAACCCACTTAGATTTGGGAGGAGTTGGACTCCAGCTGGACAATACCCATGGAGATAACTGGGACTTTGCTTCATCTTTGTTTCTGGGATTATTTTGAGTCTGGGAGTCCTGAGGAAGTAGATAGGGCCCTCTGCACTGTTACCACTTGTCATTTGGATCCTGTTCTTCATGATTGGTCAAGGCCTTCTATGAAGTGACACAAGTTGAATCTGAGTGATTGTCAGCACTTCTTTGAGCAAGCAGGTATTTCTGTCTCCTCTAAAGGAGACTGTGATATGCCCCCTGCTCAAGGAGTTTTCACTCATTCTGACAGAGTTAGACAATTTTAGACCTGTCTCTAACCTTCCATTTTTGGAAAGGTTGTGGAGAAAGTTGTGGCTCTACAGCTGCAGACAGTAATCTACTAGAAGTAGATTATTTGGACTCTTGACAGTCAGGGTTCAGGTCAGAATTCAGCAATCTGCATTAGTCACACTTGCTGATTATTTTGGGAGGATTAGGGTTGGGGAATGAAACAATCTTGGTCCTCCTTGATTTGTCAGTGGCTTTTGACACCATTGACTGTGGTATCCTTTTAGACCACCTCTGAGGGATTGAAGGGGGCCATTATTTTACTGTGGCACTTCTCTTTCATGAAGAGGCGATTCTAGTTAGTGGTAGTGTGCTTAGGGATCCCTCCTCTCCACTTCAATATCTATATGAAACTGTTGGGATAGGTCATTCATTGGCACAGGGTCCAGTAACATTCGTAGATTGATAACTAGCTGTACATCTCATTTCCTCATTGCTGAACAAGTGATGCAGTGGATGTACTGATCCAGTACCTGGAGGCTACTGGGAACATAGTGTTTGGGCAGCCACGGGTGTGCCCTGATACACTTGAGTGATCCCTTTGCTTTGGGAGCTCCATTTGTTGTTAGTTAGCTTCTGTATGTGATTTAAGGTGCTGATTGTCACTTTTAAGGTTCTACTTGGCTCTGGTCTTGGTTGTCTGAGAGACCACCTCCTCTGGCATTTATCTACCCATCCAACCAGATTTACTAGGGTCAACTATCTCCAGGCACTGTCCTTGAAGGACTGTCATCTGACATGTCCTCAGAGATAGGCCTTTTCCATTGTCACCTCCGTTCTGTGGAACTCCTTCCCATTGGAGCTTTGGCCTGCTTAATCACTCCTGTGTTTCAAGAAACTTATAAAGACTTTCCTTTTCTATCTGGCACAGAAGGGTGCTTCATGATATACAGGTGAAGAATAGCCTTGTGGAGGACCCAATGCATTGTACCACAATCCAGGCAGTGTTGTTTAGAGATAAACCTGTACAACTGGCAGCTCCAAACTTAGCAGATCTGGCTTGTTCTTTGTGAGGGACTGAAAAATCCTAAATCAGCTCTACAGAGGATCACCAGTGCTGGATCTCCTTGGATAATCATTTCTTTGTACTATAGTTATGGCCCCTAAACAGCATATGATGTATTACAAGTTTGTTGTTTCTCAGTCCTATATATTTATAAGGCAACAATTCCACCACTAGCAATTTCTTAACTTCATGGACTTGGGTTTTCTTTTTTCTTTTAGCATTTGCTATGGGGTAGTGAGCTTGTGAGATGGCTCAAAGGCCTTCCAATGATCCTGGAAGGGAACTATACCTATAGGGAGGATTAAATGTTTAAAGAACTGTACACAAAAGGAGAGACAAGTCAAGGGCACATAAATTATGGCAACTCAGGAGTGCTGATGCAAACATTTAAGGATGCCAGGGGCATTCCTGTCCCCCTTTCTTCTTTCTGTACCACCACAAACACAAGCTCCTGAAGTCCTTGAGATATAGGCAGCCCAATCGTAAGTAAGGGGAAAAAAAAAAAGCAAAGATCTGAGTTGCCATTGAAAGGAAATGCCTCCTTTGAGTCAAGCACTATTTCTGCTGACTTCACTGACACACACAGTTTGTTTTCCTGACAATGATGCAGAAGTGGTTTGCCACTGCCTTCTCTCAGAATATTTTTTTAATATATACTTCCCAGTCTTGGATTACCTAATGGCAGAGACTCTTGTAGACAGAGAGGTGGGGAGCTGACTAGCGAGTAACAGAAAGCAAACCCTGGACTCCCCAAAGATGTAGAAAACCTGCTGAAGTTTATTCTCCCCAGTCCCTTGACCATTCAGGAACAGGAGTTGACAACACAAACACTCTTTGGAGCCTTAGCAGTCCAAATCAAGAACTCAAAGTAACTCTCAAAATAAAATATCTAACCAGAATTCAATAGATCTGGCAGAAACAGTTTGAGACCTGTCCTCCTGCACTCACACAGTCTCAATAAATCTTCCAGCCTTGGCTGTAAGCATATGGACAATTCCTTACTTGAGTAGTCTCTGGCCCTTTCCTTCTCTGAGTAAGGCTTTCCAACGGAAGAAACCAATTGTCTTTTCTGCCTGCTGTTGGGTGCTGATATTGTGGGACCAAACTGATGTGGGGTCTTTAATTTTGATTCGTTCAGGACTTAAATGCAATAATTTTGGCCAGCCAGTGACATCTGGTTCCCTTCACCACAGTGTTCCATTGAAATACTAAGCAGGTCCAACCCTACTTAGCTTTTTGAGATCAACCAAGGTCAGCTTGATGCTTCTGAATTTGGACTAAAAGCACAGGTTGGGAATCTTTGTGTAGATATTGGAATAACCCTGGCAGACAATCACACTATGATACCCCCCCTTCCCCAAATGTTGGCACTTTCCAGATATGTTGGGATCAGAATTCCTAGCCAGTATAACTAGCAACCTTGGTGGCTGGTAATTGTGGGAATTACAGCCCCATCCTATCTGGAGGATTCCAGGTTACGAATGGCTATACCCAGGGCTAATCCCTAAAAGCCTTAAGGTTGGGGTTAGTCATTCAGGATAAAGCCCCCGTTAGAGTTCTGCACACATATTGCCTAACAACCAAGTGAAGCCAAGAAATTGTGTGAATTATGTGCTATATACATTGTACTATATACTGTTTTGAGAGTTTGAAAAGGGCTTTGTTACATTACTTCAAAACTAAATAAAGATTGCCAAATTCTCAGAATTCCCATTCAGCTAAGGCACAATGGAAGCTGAGCAGTGTGTGAATCTTGGATACAGTGAATTCAATTATTAGATCATGTAATAATGCTGTCAGCCTAGACACAGGAACAGTTTTATTTGTTGCATTGTCTGTTCCTAGTGACTGGTGGTTTTAATAAGGGATTGCCTGTAGGGAAACGTGGCCCCATTACCCAATCTATTTCTTAACAGATTTTCTTAGCTCTAAAATATCTTTTGTAAATGTCTTATTAAAGCCAGTGAGCTAAAGTCCCATTTCTTAAAAGTCTATCTTACATCTGCAGCATTTCAGTATCAACTCTCCGGTAAAAACAAAACAAAAACAAAAACAAAACAAATCAAGGCAGTAACAAAGATAAGAAACTTAAAATAGTGCTTCAAATCAAGTAAAAGCAAGCAGCGCACTGAAAATAATCAACTGGCTAGATGAAAATAATCAACTGGCTGGATGAAATGAGTGGTTAAAGTGAAAAGTCGATGTCTTGTCCTACACAAGCAGAAAATCCAAAGTCAGCATCCTATGCTGTCCAAGGATCAAACTTCATAAAAGAGCAATTAAATAACTTGCTGCTAAGAGATATTTGAGCAGGTTGTTCAGTGGCAGCAGACATACTCGGTTTGCAAGATAGGTTGAGAATAATTCCAGGCAGAAATCTCTGAGCAATATCAATCGAAAGACACTGTATAGCTTTTCCATCACTGCCTCTTTGAGGAAAAGGTAAAAGACAAATAAGCAATGGGAAAACAACAGAGAAACTATGTATGGAATATTGTGATATTGGACTTCCCCTTCTCTTCTTGCCTAGTAAAATTCTCAATTTTTAAAATGTTTTCTCAGTAGAGAAATAATCCAATTTATACTATGCATTCTTATGCATGGTTACTCATAAGTAAGTCCTACCATGTTCAATGGGCCTTCTTATTCTCCCAAGTGTATATGCAGGACTGCAGGCAAATAAAGTCTGACATATATCAACTAACTATATTTTGCATATTGAAATTAAGTTTTTTTCTTATTTCTTATTATTCAGAACTTACCTATAATTATGGTAGATCTTGCTTTTTTTCTTGCATCTCTGCATTGCTGCAGAACGTTAAGACAACATAAGAAGGATGTCTGCCTCTGTAAAAAAGGCACAAGTACACCAGGGAACAAAACAATGTATCTGGTTCATTAATAAATGCCATTAATAAATGTCAAAAGCCTAAGTCCCAGAGACAATGAACACCCTTCTTCTATAACATGGGGCTGGTTTGCAAACACCATTACATCAAGTTAAAAAATGGCAAATGCATTTTCCCCCAGAAATGGCTGCTAGTTGCTATTACAGTCAATCAATTTGAAGTGATTAAAAAACAACTACAGAGAAAAACTATTGGCTATGCTGTCATTAACAACCTCTCCCAATTTTCAATACTCTTCTGAAGTTTTTTTTAAAGTGTCTGTGATTTCTATGTGCATGTTAAGGACAGACATCAAAACAAATGAATGGATTGGTTTAGAAGGAAAAAAGAGCAGAACAGCCTCCACTGTATGAGAGAAGACAGGCAGCTGATCTGCTTGCTATAACGTGCACCCAGAAAACACACATCTCCTGTGAGCATTCTTAATCTTTACCCAAACTCTTAAGACCAAGCTTAAATCTTGGGCAAATTTGACAAGCAGTAGTAAATTCATTCAGCTAAACGTGCAGTTTGATTCAATACATTAGTCGTATAACACTTGTCAAGACCAGAAAGAGCTTGAACTGCAAGAAATAAATTAGAGAGCTATAGTGTTCTATTTTATTCTTTTCCCTCTATCATTAGAATGGCTGACAACTAAGCGTGCATTCAAAAATGTACCATGAAGTAAATCTTTTTGGAGACAAACGAAATGTAGTGCTGGCTACCAGCGTGGCTGGCTTCAAAAAAGGGCTGGACCCATTTATGGAAGTCCTGGGGATCAATGACTATTAGCCTTGATGGCAGGGTGACTGCCTTTGACGGCCATCTGTTGGGAATACTAGTAGGCTTTCTTGTGCAATTGGTTGGCCACTGTGAGAACAGACTGATGGACTAGACTGGCTAGGCGTCCAGCAGGGACAAGCTTATGCTTATATAATTTGATAATTTTATACCTACAGAAAAACAGTTGGCAAGTAGTGAATGAAGTACTAATGTGTGCTTTTATTAAGAGAGCCCCTGAGAATTCAGAAACTGTTTGTCATTTAGACTTTTCTGAGTCAATTTTTAATAAGGACAAATGGGTTACTTTGTTGGTCTGTGCAACAAACGCAAGTGGAACCAAAAAATGTGGGTTCAGAGAATGGCTGTGGAGGTCTTGGTGTCCATACATATCTTCCCGGGTTTATTTTCTGGGATGCTAGATTCAACGAAAGTGAGCTCCAAGGACATACCATTATCTCAACCCTATTTTGCATTCATGATCTCAACATAGCTTGGCTATTTTCTGTTACTTGTTATCTGGATCCATTCAATAAAAACTGAAGAATACTAGTGGTAAAAAGTGGAGGGACCACTAAGGCTCCAGTCATAACGGGGTGATGCCACAGAGAAGTCAGTTCAAGAAGCAGCATGGTACCACTGTTTATAATGGATGGTGACATCAGGTGGAAATGCAAGGGAATGCCAGACTAACATGAATTTAAAGAATTATATTAACAATTCAAGTTTAATTGTTGTGTCAGTATCAGACCACTAGGCACAACCTCAGTATACACAGAATATTGGAGTTTTTTTCTACTATTCTATAGATCAATCCTGCCTGCCTTCAAATTTTATGCTTTGCACTAGGCCTACCAAATCTGGACAACCCCTAGATGGCAGCAACGTTTTCTGTATTTTGCAGCAATCTAGTGGTCATTTGCAGTCCAGATGTGGTAGGCCCACTTCACATTCTGGAACTTGACTGAGCTAACATTTTTATTAATTAATTAATCAATTAAATTAATAATTAATCAATCAATAATTTAATCAATTAATTGATGAAGAAAATAATTAATGAAATAAATGTTGGTTTGGCTCAGTTGAGCTATTATTTTATTATTAAAATATAACAATTATTTTAATTGTTTTTATAGGGGCAGCCGTACAAAATAATTAATTAATTTGTAGGCTGCCCATCTCACCAAGTGACTCTGGGTGGTGAACAAAATTTAAAAAATTAAAATAAAAATAATAGAAACATTAAAATACACAGCAGCCAAGAATAAAGCACCCATCATAATGACTAAATTAAAACATGAAACGGGACACGGCGCACACTCGGGGCTCCAGGTCCAGCCACATTGCCAGGTCTTTAGGACCTTATGAAAGGCCAACAGGGTTGGAGCCATCCTGATCTCCCAAGGGAGAAGTCCATAAGGCGGGCGCTACAGCAGAAAAGGCACATCTTCTAGGCCCCGCCAACTGCATTCCTTAGCCAGTGGGACCTAAAGCATGCCTGCCCTACCTGACCAGATTGGACAGGCAGAAACAACTAGGGAGAGACGGTCCCTCAGGTAACCCAAGCCATGATGAGCTTTAAAGGAGACAACCAGCACTTTGAATCGCACTGGGAGGCATACTGGCGACCAATGCAGCTCAGAGTAGGGGCGTTATATGTGCGGAATAACCATTCACTGCCGCATTCTGCACCAGTTGAAGCTGGTCCCTGCAGTTTTCTTGGCAAGATTTCAGAAGTGGTTTGTCACTGCCTCCTTCCTAGGGCTGAGAGTGAATGACTGGCTCAGGGTCACCCAGGCGGCTTTGTGCCGAAGGCGCGACTAGAACTCCCCGTCTCCCGGTTTCTAACCTGGTGCCTTCACCACTACTCCAAACTGGCTCTCCACACGATTCCACTATGTACACCAAACTGGCTCAGTTGCTGGGCTGCCCCCCAAAAGGAAAGTGGCCTCGCCACCTGCACATAGGCACGCTCAACCTTTTAACAGCAGAGGGTCCAATCTTCCTCCGTGTCTGGTGGTGTGTGTCTGTGAGACTGAGGGAGAGGGAGAGAGGGAGAGGGAGAGATGCCATGCAGGATCAGCCACTTCCTCCCACCAGCTACTTCCTCGGGCCGTACCACAGCAACCGTGTGCTTAAAGATAAGCCTGAAAATATGGAAACAGCTAGTTGACTTCCTCCGAAAATGCGAACGTGTTCACATTTCACTAGGCAAGTCCGGGACAGAAACCCTGGGTTGGACAGACAAGAAATGTTACAGATTGAGATTCACTCGGCAATGACTGCTGGAATCCCCAGATCGGTTTTAGCCCCAGGGCAAGGGAGATCCTGCAAACCACGCCACCGCGATGGATGTGCACCTTCTCTGCAAAGGTGAAAACGCTTCGTCCCTTTCGCTCAGGAGACTCGCTCGCCCTGGATGTACAGGACACTCCACGAGTCCTGGTTTAGGCAGGTTCCTCGCGACTCTGCCCATCAAATCAGCTCAGCTGAGCGGAGCGGAGCGCACGCGGCCCCCGCGACGGCCCTCGCAGCCGTTGCCGCTACCGGCGAAGGGACGCGAAAAAGGAAGCGCTTTCCTTCCACGCGCCAAGCTTCTACCCCCCCGCACGCGCGCCCCCCCCCCCCCCCGGCTGCCCTTCCTCCGAACGCCCGGAGATCGGCGTACAGTATCTCAATTTTGAATAGCCCCACCCAGCGAACGGCCCAAGCGGCTTCCGACGGTGATTTGCTCGCGCTGTTTCGGACCGTGACGTGGGCACGCACGCTGCGCCTCTCCCGGAAGTGAGGAAGCGGTGCGAGTCCCAGTAATAGCAACAAGCAGCTGCCTGGGCTTCTACGGTGCCCTCTGCAAGGGGCTCCCCCCTCCCCATACTTTTGCTTGCCCGGGCAGGGCAGCCAGGAGGGGCCCCGCCGCAGCGAGCGAAGGGGGGGCAAGCAGAACTCCTGCTTTCGCTTCCCCACTGAGGGGTGGTTGAGCAGTAGGAGGAGGTGGCGGCAGCGGCG